ACACACACACACAGGGTGTATATATATACACACACGATACACACACACACACACACACACACGGTGTATACACACACACACACACACACACACACGGTGTATACACACACACATACACACACAGGGTATATACACACACACACACACAGGGTGTACACACACACACAGGGTGTATACACACACACACACACACACACAGGGTGTATACACACACACACACACAGGGTGTGTACACGCACACACACACACACACACACAGGGTGTATACACACACACACACACACACACACACAAACACACACACAGGGTGTATACACACACAAACACACACAGGGTGTATATACACACACACACACAGGGTGTATATACACACACACACACACACACACACAGGGTGTATATACACACACCCTCACACACACACACACCCACACAGTCACACACACACACACACACACACACACACACACAGACTTGGAACAGATGCGGACACATACACACAGACATACATGCCGACATACACACATGCACAGATTGCAGAATAAGATCCTTTGAATTTTGCCACAGCCACAGGCTTTCCCCCCCCCCGATGTTAGTGACATTCACATAAAACGATATGTTGGTAGGCTGAAGTAGGGCTGGAGGAGGCTTAAGTACAGCATAAACATTATTGTGGAGGTGGTGGTCCGAATGGCCTCTGAAATGGCTGCCCATTGGTTATATCACAGTATTAATAATCTAGAGACTAATGAACAGGGGTGGGGGCGGGTTCAAATCCCACCAGGAGAGGGCAGTACGGTGGCTTAGTACGAGCACTGCAGCCTCACAGCGCCAGGGAACCCAGGTTCAATTCCACCCTCGGGCGACCGTCTGTGTGGAGTTTGCACATTCTCCCCGTGTCTCTGGGTGCTCCGGTTTCCTCCCACAGTCCAAAAATGTGCAGGTCAGGTGGATTGGCCACGCCAAATTGTCCCCTAGTGTCTAGGGATGTAGGCACATGGATTAGCCAGAGAAAATACAGTGATAGGGGTGGGTCTGGGTGGGATGTTCTTCGGAGGGTCAGTGAAGACTCAATGGGCTGAATGGCCTCTATCTGCACTGTAGAGTTTCTATGATTTCAGACAGCTGATGGAATTTAAATTAGATGAATAGATGTGGAATATAAAGCTACTCTCACTGATGATGACCATGACAACCATCTTTAATTGTTGTTTAAACATAGCTATATGCTTCTTTCCGGAAGGAAATCTGCCATTTTTACCAGGTCGGGTCTACACGTGACTCCAGACCCAAAACAATGTGGCTGACACTGAAGTGGCACAGCAACCCACTTAGTACAAGGGCAAATGGGTGGGGTGGGGTGGACAACAAATATTGACCTTGCCGGAGATGAATAAGACCATCTTTCAGCCTATCCTGCATCAGATTTTGTGCTGCTGGCTGATGTTTGCTAGGAACTAAACGGAGATTGAACTAACTCATTTCACACAGAACCTGGCAAGTTGACACGGGAGGCGATGGCCTAGTGGTGCTATTGCGAGACCATTAATCCAGAGACCCAAGTAAACGTTCTGAAGACCTAGGTTCGAATCCAGTCATGGTAGATGGTGAAATCTGAATTCAACAAAAGTCTGGAATGAAGAATCTAATCACGATCATGAAGCCGTTGCCGATTTCTGGGAAAAACCCATCTGGTTCACTAATGTCCTTTTGGGAAGGAAACTGTCGTCCTTACCTGGTCTGGCCTACATGTGACTCCAGACCCACAGCAATGTGGTCGACTCTGAACTGCTCTCTGAACAATTAAGGATGGGCAATAAATGCTGCCCTTAGCCAGCGACCACCGTCCCCATCCATGAACAAATTTTTAAAAAGTCAATGGCAAAACTGGTTTCAGCTGGTTTTCAATCCAGTTCTTTGGACGGAAAGGTGCAGAGCTCAGTCTATTGTGTCACCAAGAGGGTGGTATAACATAACACCTCCTCCCCCACTCTCCAAGAACCCATTAAGATAGTTTGTGCATCACCTGGAACAAATTATTTTCTGTATATAAAACTATTCTGTCCCTTTGCAATCCGCACCCCACTGTTGGTCCCACAGGGTGGAAATTAGCCTCCAATTGACCACCATATCATCCATCTAGTCCCCAGTTCCACCCACTTCAGATGACTGTGACTATTGAGTAGATTGTAGAATCCAAGATCCATTGAAATCTGGGTTGGTGGGAATATGAAGAGTGAAAACCAAGTGTAGATGGGATTCAGCAAAACCCATTGTTGTTTGATGAGCCCTTTCCGAAGCAAGGTAGAAGAAGTGATCAGTGATGAAGGTGGACAACAAGAATATCAGGATCTTGGGCCCAGGAGCAGAGCTCAGACTCACCTCTCTTCTGCATGAAAACAAACAGATCGTCCAGGAACTCCTTCCGTTTGGGGTCACTGTCCAGTTCGTAGAGCTGTCAAAAGACACAGAAAAGGGAAGCAGTGAAAGAGAGGCTGGAACAGAACTGAGTCACGACTGTTTTCCTGGAACTGATTCAGAGGCAGAATATAATTCAAGTATACAACAAACAAACCCTGTCCTCTATTTTCCATTTATAGACATTCCCTCAGTAGGAGAGTGGACATGTTTGCACTTTGCTGTACAACAATAAAACTATTTATTCCCGTGAGTGAAGTCACATTGATGGTTTTGACGAACACATTAAAATTCCACAGGCTATGGAAATAATATAGAATAAAGGAGTTGGGAGAGAGATTATTCCTATCTGTAACTTAACACGGAGATTTTGATCCAACTGGGGTGGAGTTTGATGGGAATCCAAGGATAATTGCTGGACAGAGTGAGGTTTTGGACATTGAGTGAGAATAACGGCTACAGTCAAAGATTGATGCCGCTCAACATTATGAGTGACGGTGTCATGCCCTCGTTGCCACAGTCTTGGTGCCCAGTGAATGGCACTCCAACAATTTGATCATGAGGAGATAGTGTGACAGGGTGAGGGCATTGCAGGGAAGGGTGAGGAGTCACTTCGAACAGAATGCTTGGGAGAACTGTAGGTGGAGGTGAAAGGATGATTGCCAGCATAATCCGAGCTCTTGTTCCAGCTAGAAATGGCTTTCTTCATAACTCCCATCTGCTCTCTCACAGCCAGGATCACATTCTCCTTGTGACAAAAGGGATGGTCGACTTGCAACAACTGCTGCTAATACCACAACGATTTTGTGGTTTCTCTCTGAACAAATTGCAGGTCACCCTGCTGCACGAGGCAAGAACTCTTCCTGTCTTCCGTCTTCACTTCTTTCCCAACCTCCTTCAATGGTCTTCCCAATGACATGGCCAAGAGGCAGTGAAGCTGGCCTTTCCAGCCTCAAACCTCACCCAATGCATCTCTGAGCAGTCCTCAAGATCAACCAGGGGTAACTATCCATTTAATAATCCTCCCATCGTCATATTTCAGTAGTAACTCATAATGAGCTATACGAGGTTTCATGGTTAGGTGGGTAGGAACATACAAAGGGGAGCAGGCCATTCAGCCTGTCAATCCTGCCCCACTATTCAATATGACTATGGCTGACTGAACAATTCTTCTACCCAGTCAATCTCTATGTTAAACATACTAAAAGACCAAGCCTCCTCTGGTAGAGAACCCCAAAGGTTCACAAATCCTCCAAGTAAAAATATTTCTCCTCATCTCAGATCTAATTTGCAAGCCCCCTTACAGTTTTAAAGGATGCCCACTGATTCTGGATCTCCCAACCAGGCAACCATCTTCCTTGCATCTACCCCAACTATCCCTTCCAGTATTTTGTAGATTTCAATAAGATCACCTCTCATTCTTCAAAATTCTTGAGAATATAGGCTGAGTTTGCCCAATCTCTCTTTGTAGGACAGTCCCCCTGGCCCAGGATCAATAATCGTAGAATTCCTGCAGTGTGGATGCAGGCCATTCGGCCCATCGAGTTCACACCAACCCTTCGAGGGAGCATCCCACCCAGACAAACACCCCTATCCCACCCCTGTAACCCTGCACGTCCCATGGCTAACCCACCCAGCCTGCACATCCCTGGACACTGTAGGCAATTTAGCACGGCCAATCCACCCTAACCTGCACATCTTTTGGATTGTGGGAGGGAACCCATGCAGACACGGGGATAATGTGCAAACTCTACACACCTGACGGTGGAATTGAACCCAGGTCCCCGGTGCTGTGAGGCAGAAGTGCTAACCACCAAGCCACTGGAGTCAAGATCTGATGCATTTCTGTTGCACTCCCTCAATTGCAACAACATCTTTCCTGAGGTAAGGAGACCAAAACTGCACCCAGTCCCTGGCTCCGAGCCAGAATCACTGGATGCGAGTCCCACTCTAGGGCCTTTTGGCCAAGGGAGGTGCGCACATACGCAGTCCTTACACATCGTCCCGAAGGGCCTACAGTAAGAGCAGGAATGTGGCCTGCTCAGTTAGAACCATGTAGTAGCAGAGGCACAACATTGTCTCCATGTTCAAAGACTTCAACCACAGGTTCTTTCAGGGATTTTAACTCAATGGCAAGGGACCTCCATGTTTCAAGGGACTGCCAGAGTAGAAAAGGATTGAGGAGGCGTGGGAGGAGAGGAGACAAATGTGTCACGCAGAATGGCCAGTGAGTAATAACACGAGTTGCAAACCCAATGCAACTTCTGAGTCAGCTGCCAAGTTCTGCTCAACTCTCCCGAGAAGGGGAATTACCAAAGTTCTTGACTGTGGAAAAAGATGTCATTTATGCAAAACACTATTTTGACCTGATTTTAGATCCCAAGTCTTCAGATCGAGAAATGACTTTTGTTTGGTCAGATGGGCGTTTGTCATTGGTATTTAGATGTGCTGTCTGCTTCCCAAGGTGAGGTGTTGCAAAGAGGTCATCAACTGATGGCAAATTGGTAGAGGTTAGCAAACACAAGGTCAAGATCAGGATAAAGGAATTTGACCCAAGCTCTTTAAAAGACCCATCACTGGGGTGCAGATATTCCCTGATCTGAGTTACAGGAGTTGTGAGGACCCTCTGGATGAGGAGCCAAGGTAAAAGGCTGATGGGAAGGTTGTAATGAGTCGGAAACCAACCAGAAAGAAATTGCACGGTTGACGTCAAGCTTGAGTTTTCAACTGAACAAGAGCTTAAGGAAGGGGTGGGGTTAAAGGTATGCACTGCAAGGCAGCAGGGGTGCGACTGGGGTTTTAAACCTTACAACCTTTACAAAGTATATGGATGAGCACTTGGAAGTATCATAACATTTAAGGCTACAGGCCAAGTGCTGGATAATGGGATAGCAGGTGAGTGTAGACTCGGGGCGTAGAAGGGCCTCTTTGGGGCTATATGATTCTAGGAAAGACTGTTGGAGGAAGATGAAAATGGGGACAAATTCTAAGAGGAATGGGGCAAATAGTAGGAGGAAGGGGTGGGAGTTCGTGCAGAAAGAAGGCAGGAGACTGTCGGAGGAAGTGACCATGTGCCGAAAGGCAGCACAGTGGCTTAGTGGTCACCTCTGCTACCTCACCACGCCAGGGACCCGGGTTCAATTCCACCCTCAGGTCCCTGGAGTTTTCACGTTCTCTCTGTGTCTGTGTGAGTTTCCTTCGGGTGCTCTAGTCCCCCCGCCCACAGTCCAAACACATGCAGGTTACATGGAGCGGCCATGCTAAATTGCCCCATGATGTGTAGGCACGTGGCTTGGCCGTGGGAAATGTGGGGTGGGTCTGGATGGGATGCTCTTCGGCGGGTTAGTGCAGAATCAATGGATCGAATGGCCTCTTTCATTACTGTAGGGATTCTGTGATTCTACATTGCTGTGGGTGTGCAGCTTGGACTAGGCAAGGACAGCTGATTTTCTCCCCTGAAGGACATTAGTGAACCCAATAAGTTTTTACAACAACCGAGAGTGATTATACGGCCACCATTAGACTAGCTATTTACTTTGGGTTTTACTGAATTCAATTTTCACCATCTGGCATGGTGGGATGTTATGGACCAGACCAAACCTCCTCAAAATATATTAGGATGACAGCCTAGACCCTAACTTTTCTCTTATTTTAAAAGCGAGTACCAGGCGTTGCGTTCCGGATACAATTAGACTGGTTAAACTATCAGTCTTGAAGCAAAACCAACTTTTTTCATACATTACAGTTAAAATGCAACAAAAGAAAGAAGAAATTAGAATAACTTAACTCTATTGGAAAACTTAACAGAATAATAGATTATTTAACTACTAAACAGCAACTGTTCCAATATAGTACCATCTCATAAACACACCCTTGGCAAAGGCAAATTCAGTAAAATAGATTGTCTCACAGGCAATTCTCCAGTCCAGGAGGAAAATAACATCAAGAGAAAACTTAGAGAGAGAGTAGCAGAGAGAGATGTACTGCAGCTTCCAAACCCAGCTTCAAGGCTCCAGCAACAACTGCTTCTTAAAACTAAAACTAAAAATCCTGGCTCCTGACCCCACCCATTCAGGCTGCTTCTATTGTTCCAACTTTTAAAAAAAATCCAAGCCGTCACAAGCTGTTTACTTTATTGGATGCAAATAGACAGCTTTGTGTCTCTGTCTTAAAACCTCTCTTCAAAAAAAAGGACAAAATACACCTCTTAAAGCTGTAGAATTGTCACAGGGATTTGAACCCGTGACCCCAGCACATTAGCCTGGGTTCGAGATTGCTGGTCACCATTATGCCACGGCCTCCCCCATTTGAGGTCAATAACAATGACGTACTTTGAGGAACGACATGAGAGACAGAAAGGAACACGATGACAGAGTGAGGTGAAGAGGAGTGTGGAATATACATGCTGACACGGACCAGTTGGGCCGAACAGCCTGCTGTGAATACTCTTTAGAGGGTTTCTACCATCGGAAATCTACGCTGGGATGAGGGGAACCGGCCGACCCACCAGAGAGAGAGGAAAGAAGAGAAAACTTCCAACCTTTGCAAAGTCCTTGGCAGCCTCCCTTGCTCGTCCACCATCAACATCGTCATTCCAGGCCAGACTCCCATTCTGAACGTAAAAAAAGGGAAAGAGTAAGAGGTAAAGATGGAGAGAAAAATAAAATATAGAGAAGACAGTTCTATGTATCTCTGGCCTGGAATATGCACTGATAGCTGATGCTGCTATGGAAGGCTCTCATTCTCCAATCCCATATCTAGCAATCGACTAAGCACTTCACGTTTTCTGTGCATTCTTTTATTTAATTCATGGCATTGACTTCGGAAATGTGAGGTTATGCACTTTGGCAGGAAGAATAGAGGGACTGAATCTTATTTAAATGCAGCGAGCTACAGGACAGAGGGATTTGGGACTCCACACTCACCTATCACAAACAGATAGTGATCAAGTTCAGCGTGGAAGCAGGCCATTCGGCCCATCAGGTTCACACTGACCCTCTGAAGAGCATCCCACCCAGACCCATCTCCCTACCCTATCCCTGTAACCCTACATTTCCCATGGCTAAACCACTTATTTATTTATTTACGGGATGAGGGCATCGCTGGCTAAGGGCAGCATTTATTGCCCATCCCTAATTGCCCAGAGAGTCAGAGTCAACCACATTGCTGTGGGTCTGGAATCACATGTAGGCCAGACCAGGTAAGGATGACAGTTTCCTTCCCTAAAGGGCATTAGTGAACCAGATGGGTTTTTCCCAACAATCAACAATGGATTCATGGTCATCATTAGACTCTTAGTTCTAAATATTTATTGAATTCAACTTCCACCATCTGCTGTGGCAGGATTCGAACCCGGGTCCCCAGAACATTATTGGGGTCTCTGGATTAACAGTCTAGCAATCATACCACTCGGCCATTCCCCTCACTTACACTCCCCTGGAAACTATAACATGGCCAATTCACCTCACCTGCACATCTTTGGACTGTGAGAGGAAACCCACACAGACACGGGGAGAATGTGCAAACTCCACACAGACAGTCGCCCGAAGGTGGAACCGAACCCGGGTCCCTGGCACCGTGAGGCAGCAGTGCTAACCACTGAAGCACAGTGTCGGCAAGCCACTGTAATAGGGAAGGCAAATGGAATGCCGGGCTTTGTTTCAAAGAGAATGAAGTATAAAAGTAACAAGGTTTTGCTAAAACTATACAAGGCACTAGGCAGACCCCAGCTGGAATATTGTGAACAGTTTTGGGCCCCTTATCTAAGGAAAGATATATTGCCATTCAAAGATGTGTAAGGCAGTCAAAAGAATGTTCACTATGCTGATGCCAGGCATACAAGGGCTGTCTTGTGAGGATATATTGAGGAGATTGGGTCACTCATTGTAATATAGAAGAATGAGGGGCATTCTTGTCGAAACATAGAAGATTCTCTTGACAAGGTAGATCCAAAAAGCTTGTTTCCCCTTGTGGGAGAGTCTCGGACAATTTCTCAGAGTAAGGGGTCAGACGTTTAAGACAGAAATGAGGGATTTCTTCTCTCAGACGGTTGTGTTATCTGTGGAATTCTTTACTGCATACAGCTGTCCAGGCTGAGTCATTAAGGATATTCATGGCTAATACAGACAGGCTTTCAATCAGAAAAGGAATCGAGGTTTATAGAGAAAAGGCAGGAAAGTGGAGTTGAGGGTTATCAGATCAGCCATGATTTCATCGAATGGTGGAGGAGACTCAATGGGCTGAATGACTTCCTTCTGGTCCTACATCTTACGATGAGCCCTCCCTGTCCTGAATCTTCAGATGTCTTGCTGAAATACTGCTAGACAGATTCCCAAAACGGCTGGATTGACATATGAAGAAAGACTGGATTGACTGGGCTTGTAATCATTGGAATTTAGAACAATGAGGAGGTACATCATAGAAACATATAAAATCCTGAAGGGACTGCACAGGCTAGATGTGGGAAGAATGTTCCCGATGTTGGAGAAGTCCAGAACAAGGGGTCGCAGTCTAAGAATAAGGGGTTAAGCCATTCAGGACTGAGATGAGGAAGAATTTCTTCACTCAGAGAGCTGTGAACCTGTGGAATTCTCTCTCACAGGAAGCTGTTGGGGCCAGTTCATTGGATATATTCAAGAGGGAGCTGGACATGGCCCTCACAGCTAAAGCGATCAAGTGGTATGGGGAGAAAGAGGGAGTGGGATACTGAGATTGCATAATCAGTCATGATCACATAGTAAATAGGTGCAGGCTCAAAGAGCCGAACAGTCTACTCCTGCACCGATTGTCTGCATTTCTATACCAAGTGCCCTCACAATGGTAAAGGTTGTAGCTTTTAACAAAAGTGGTCCACCAGCACCTTTTATAAAGGCACCGGGGACATGCTATAAGTGCTGTCTTCGCCAGTGAAGCCATCTCTTGCAAATGACCAAAGAAAAAGGGTCCCCTCAGCTGTGTTCAGCATTCACGTTGATGTGCAAAACTGAAAGGAGGCTGAAAAATCCCAGTCATCATGGGAACCTGCATGGAGTCAGGGCTGAAAGGAGGATGCTGCAAAGTGTGGAGGGAATGGAGGAGCGCAGAATGAGTCTCCAACAGAGACACTACCGTTTCGCACTTGTCAACAGCGAAACACTCAGCTAGCCAAGAGCCAGAAAAGCTTGAAATCACTATGGTGATGAGCTCCTTGAAAGTGAACGAGAGATCGCTGCATATGATCAGGAACTTGTAACTGAGGAGAAATGTAATGGATCCTATGGTAATCAATGCTGCCAATCGTTACATTTAAATCTGGGGTGCAGTAAGCAGGTTTGTGACGGCCTTGTTAAAATATTCCAGCTTCTTTTCTTCACACAGAGACTGGTGGTCGTGTGGAATGCGCTGCTAGCAGTGGTTGTGGAGTCAGATACTTTAGAGACATTTAAGCGACTCTTGGATAGGCACATGGAGGATAGTAAAATGTAGGATATGCAGGGTAGATTGACCTTAGTAGGATAATAGGTCAGCACAACATCGTGGACCGAAGGCTGCACTGTTCTATGTTCTATGTGACTATACTATGGAAATGTATTAACTTTGACCTCGCCAGCCTGAGGAAGGTGTGTTTACGGTGGTGGCTTTTTTCCTCATGTAGAAACCAATTATCTGTCAATTAATTTGAAAAAAATCTTTTGTTGCAAACTTACGCCTTGTGTCAATCCTAATACTCTGACGTTTAGGAGCTTAATGTTTCCTCTGTGCGCTCACAGAATCCCTACAGCGTGGAAGCAGGCCATTCAGCCCATCAAGTCCACACCAACCCTCCGAGGAGCATCCCACCCAGACCCATCACTCTATCATATCCCTGCATTTCCTATGGCTAACCCACCTACTCTGCACATCCATGGACACTATAGGGCAATTTAGCATGGCCAATCCACCTAGCTTGCAAATCCCTGGACACTGTGGGGCAATTTCCCATGGCCAATCCACCTAACCTGCACATCTTTGGACTGTGGGAGGAAACCCATGCAGACATGGGGAGAATGCGCAAACTCCACGCAGATAGTCGCCTGATGCTGGAATTTAAAGCCAGGTCCCTGAGGAAGCAGTGCTAACCACTGAGCCACCATTCCACCCAGCACTGTGCCACCCGTGTTGCGGCTTTGAGTTTAATCGACTGTTGAGGATACTGATGGATTCTGCTAATTCTGTTTTCAATGAGTCCAAATACCCCTTATGACAGCTTAAATACAGAAGGCATTGTTATATATGACAGCATTCTCTAAAAAATCAGTTCGACAGATTGAAAAAAGTGCCCTAACATCCAAGAAAATGATAAAGTTGCAATCTAGAACACTCAAGAGCCTTTGGAAAAAAAATATATTATGTTGACAAAGAAGCAAAACTGCTTGTCTGATATGAATAACCAAGCTGCATGCAATTGCCTGACAAAGCTGTGGCTATAAAGTGTCATACTGAAACTGAGCTATCAATGGACTCTATAAGAAACAGGCAAAGAGTACAAAAGTTTGGCTGAGCCTATAGGAAAACAGAAGGTTCCTGACCCGAAACGTCAACTTTCCTGCTTCTCTGATGCTGCCTGGTCTGCTGTGCTCCTCTAGCTCCACACTGTGTTATCTCTGACTCCAGCATTGGCGGTTCTTACTATCTCTGACTAACTCTATTGTAACTATGGTACCAAAGTTTATGGAAACTTTGCAGAGGGCTCCGAAAATGTTCACAAGGGTGGCTGCAGGGATGAGGATTTACAAAGAACTTCTGGATAGCCCTCCCAAGAACAGTGAAACTGGATAATTGATTTGATGGATAAAATTATGAAGGTTATAGACAGAATAAATAGAAATGGCTGAAGAATTAATAATCAGATGGTCTAGATTTAACATCATGTTGGCAAAATAATGTGAGGTGGCAAAGGAGAATCACACAAACATAGAAGATAGGAACAGGAGGAGGCCATTCGGCCCTTCAAACCTGCTCCACCATTCTTCATGATCATGGCTGATCATTCAACTCAATAGCCTAATCCTGCTTTCTCCCCATAACCTTTGATCCCATTCGCCCAAGTGCTATATCTAGTCACCTCTTGAATACATTCAATGTTTTGGCATCAACTACTTCCTGTGATAATGAATTCCACAGGCTCACCACTCTTTGGGTGAAGCAATATCTCCTCATCTCCATCCTAAATCACCTACCCTGAATCCTCGTACTGTGACCCCTGGTGCTAGACACACCCACCATCAGGAACATCCTCCCTGCATCTGCCCTGTCCAGTCCTGTTAGAATTTTATAAGTCTCTGTGAGATCACCCCCTCATTCGTCTGAACTCCAGTGAAAACAATCCCGGCCTAGTCAATCTCTCCTCATACGTCAGTCCCACCATCCCCGGAATCAGCCTGGTAAACCTTCGCTGCACTCCCTCAAGAGCAAGAGTATCCTTCCTCAGAAAAGGAGACCAAAATTGCACACAATATTCCAGGTGTGGCCTCACCAAGGCCCTGTATAACCGCAACAACACATCCTTGCTCCTGTACTCGAAACCTCTCGCAATGAAGGCCAATGTATCATTTGCCTTCTTTACCGCCTGCTGCATCTGCATGGCATAGAGCG